CGGCTGCACTAGCCTGAGAAACTTCCAATAGCCAAACCCAGCTTTTCAAAGCCTCAAAGTTTTGCTTCACAATCAGAATCTGGGTTGTTGAAGGCTTTCATGGCTGGAATCACTGGGTTGCTGGGAGTTTTCTGGGCTGTATGGCCACGTTCCAGAAGCATTATCTCCTGACGTCTCACCCACATCTATGGCAGGTATCTTCAGAGGTTGTGAAGTTGTCACATAGATGTGGGCGAAATGTCAGGAGAGAATGCTTCTGGAACATGGCCATACAGCCCAGAAAGCTCCCAACAACCCAGAAATCAGAATAGTTTTTCAGTATTGACTCAATCTGTGGGTTGACCTAACATTATCTGATAAGGTTGTTTTTTTGTTAAATTTCCAAAACACCCCATGTGCAAAAGGGTAATGTAACATTTGGCCTCTTGAGCAAGTGGCCCTGTACACAAGATGCTGTTTACCCAAGACGTTTCCATCAGACACAATCAAGATTACCTAACGGGGGTTTGCAACTAACTGTTGCGAATGCCCCACCTTGCGACAGGTATTGCTTTCCAAAGAAACAAACCTAAGGCAAGAGAGGTGAAATGTCAACTGTGGAAATGGAGGGGAGGGGCGAAAAAAAGAGTTGTAACTGACACATATGTGTGGAACCTGTAATACTCGGGGGGAAACAGCACACTGTTTTCTTTCCTTTCCTTCTCTCCCACCTTTCCTTTCCTTCTCTCCCAACTCCTAACTCCTCACTCCTCTAAACCTAACTCCTGACTGCTCACTCCCCTAAACCTAAACCCTAACTGATTTTTAACTGTCGTTTGTTCAAACTCTCCCCGCTAAGCTCCTCCCACTTCCCTCTCTCCAGCATCGGTCTCCATGGCAACGCCCATGGAGGACTCCTCTGACTTAGGCCGCTCCAGCATTACTGCAGCCAATCTAAACACAAATACAGTTAAAATCATACAATTTATAATCAACTCCTGTACACCTTCCCCCACAGAAAAATTATTTTTGGGCCATTCTCACTCCCGGAATGGGCAAAAATAATTCCACAAATTATCCAACAATATCTAAATACACAATATTTCTGAAAGGCAATCACAATATGGTTAAATATATTATAATGCATATATACAAACCTTTTACCATACGAAATTCTAGATAAGGCGTCTGCGACTATGTTTCGTTTACCTGAAGCATGTTTAATTTCAAATGTAAAATCCTGTAAACATAAACTCCATCTCAATAATTTGTTATTCGTACCTTTTACATTATCTAGCCATCTTAATGGAGCATGGTCCGTTTGTAAGGTAAACTTTCTCCCCCACAAAT